TGAAATTAATATCTGCTGATTGGCTGTGGTTACAGTTAAGAAGTAGTTTGTAGTATTTTAATATACAGCAGTCATGGATCAGTGAAACAGTTTTTCACTACGCTCAATTTGGATGATATTATGTGAATTTGTTTTGTGCTGATTTTCTGTCTTACTTTTTTCTCAGCGGGTTATGGGTATAATGTGAAATTTGTTATACTAGCATCCAGTACCCTCATTAGATTTAGATAACCCTAGACATTTTGAGCACTAACACTCACATACATTTACAAATGCATTCTGAAAATGTGTGTAAATTTGATTCAGATTTGCTGTTTGTTTTATATCCCAAAGACTTACTCTTTGATACCTCCTGTAGATAAGACACTATTCGTGCACAAATCCACAGCGTATTGTTGGTCACACTCATTGGAGAAGGGAGATAGTAACAGGGCACCTCTATAAGAGCCTCTTCAAAATAATGAAACCACAACATGAGCCGCACTTGGGCTTCCAGAGACGCTACACTCGAAATGGATGTCGACAAAGCAACAAAGTCATCACTATCTACGAGCGAGCACAGCCTGCATTATGCTGATGAATGGAGGGCCCTGCCAGATTACTTGATTTGATAAGCAGTACAACCCATCGGTAACATAATACATCACAAATTGTTTTGTCAACAATTTATGATAGCATTTATCAAATGACCATCGCAGTGGGCTGAGTTATGGTGTCATAGCTGGCATAATGTCAATACTCCAGCTGAGTTGAGGGCAGTCTGGCTGCAGTGATTTAGACATGCTACACCCTGACCTCTTCAGAGATTTTCTCTTCATTACCAAGCAAATTGATGTGTAAGAGAGAAAGAAAAGTTTCATAGATAAATCATTGAAATGTATGAAGATATTGGGTGAATCAAATAAGAGAATATTTTGCTTTTGACATGAATGCCCTGTCTAATTGTATAAGTAGTTGAAGTAGGCTATAGTTAGCCATTTTTGTAAAGCAAGTAATTTTAACAGTAACAGTTGTGCTATAAATGACATAGTTCTTCTAAAGTTTGTAGTGGTTGAGCACTTTCTAATAATCCACATTTATTTTTCATGTTCTCTTTTTGTTGTTTTATTAATTTCATAATAACTACACAAACATTAAAATCATTACAGAAGAAACAGAAGCATGAAGGCATAAATCCTTATCCTTAAAGATACACCCTTTTACACTGAATTTTGGCTTTAACATTGTGTTTTACTTAAAGACACAATTTGTCCCCTTTCATCTTTTGTAATATGTATACTAAGGACAAAAGTTTAATAAACACAAGTTTATTTTTATTGTTTATGTTTAATTGCACTAAATGCATCAAGCTCCTCTGGTCTGTCTGATCAGGTTTCCCTTAGGAATCAATTTGAGCTTGTGACAATTAAAATGTAAGGCCTTAAACCTCCTCCTCAAGTCAATCGGTGCCTCTTATTGACCAGAATATATGGCGCGTGTCCAAGCCAGCACTGGGCTGTCCGATCTTAAAGGTTACTGCAACCACTACATGTACCCACATTAACAGGACGCTCACCTCTCCGGGTTTATGGCCTGTGTAATAATTTTAAGCAAAGAGAGAAGTGCATTCAGTGGAGACAGTAACGGGCTGAGCTGAGGGAGGACAAGTATAGTGTGATTGATGCAGGCGAGCGCTCTGGCTGTGTACCTCTCACCTTCTCCTCCTGATTACTGCCTGCGACTGATCTCTCACATCTGTCTTGACTTCCTAAAGAAACGGATTCGCCAAATATGATACTTTGGAGCTGCTGGGATTACAACTTTATCAAGAGGCTGACCTTTTAAAGAAACTGCCTGATGAGCTGTCCGGAATGACCACACAGGACAGTACTGTCCCATTGGTGCAGTTTAAGTAACAGTGTGTTGATTAACAAGCGTTAAATGTGGGGATGCTTTTCCTATCTCAAGTGTTTCACTGAAGTGTACAGTATAGCTCAATATATTTACTATTGTAGCAGTTTTCAACTGGTCTGAAAAATGTGTCCAATTTATTCCAGAAAATTATTTTTATACATTTTTATTGTTTTATATACTGTATTTTATTTGTTACAACAATTTCACTGAATAAAAATAAGATAAAATCTCAAAGCTTGCAAAACATTTAATCTATACTCATTCTACAATGACCCACTTTTGAGCCCTAACCCTCAAACAACAATGTAAAACAACTTTGGGTGTTAAAGTTCGGGTTATGAAGCAGGACCAGGTCCAAAAATATGCAGTGACTGTTAAAGCCCTTGCAAATTATATAAACACTGACCATTTTATTTTGCTTATACCCTTATTAAAATGTGGAAAATGAACTTAACTTCTTAAAACAGAAATAGCGAATTATATTCAATTAGCACATCACACTTCACAAGAGAGGCCACTGTTATGCTCTAACAACTGAAAATAAGTAATTATTTTGGGGACTGCAGTTCAGATGTCCCATATTGTTTATTAGTTAGTGACCAAGGCAAAGAATGATGAATAGATTTAAATTGCTAAGTGATATAATGAAAATCTTTCTTTTGTGACCTTTGACCCTGAGGTCATCCCTGTCTGCAGGAATGTTTAGAAGCACTTTTCATTAGCACATTACAGAAGCAGCAGCAGATGTAACAAATATTCAGACTAGCTCACTGTGCTCTCCTCATAATGAAGACAAAGTGCACACATACTCACGACAAATACCAGGAAATAAATAAGAATAAAGTATCCAAAAGGAATCACCGACGGCTGGTAATTGGGTTAGTAATGTCTTGGCTTGGTCATTTCCTCCAGGCTGCCCCGGCTCCAAGGAGCAGTCCAGGAGTTCCATCACTGTATGTACAGCTCCTCAATGAGACTGTACAGTGTATCACAAACATTTTTACTAAATCGGCAAAAACTAATGATCACCAGACAAGAAAATCTAAATCAGCTTAATTAAAGGCACACTGTGTAACTTTTTTGTTAGAAGGTGCACCTTCTTGCTTTGCCTGGTTTGCCTTTTCTGCAATATGGCAGCTTATCTACATTATTCCAAGTCACAGTTCAAATCTGTGGAGAGGCAACCTCGCTCACCGTTTGAATCATGGATCTATTTAAAGTCTAGATAGCATATTGTTAGCTTAAACCTGTCGCCAGTCCATTGCTTCTGCAGTGAAAAAGTCCTATGTAACCCCAAAAGCATGTTTCACATAGAGTGCAAAAAACTCCTTGTTTACTGATTGTGCACCTACAGCTTTCTAAAATGTGGGCTTTTGTGGCGAGTTCTTGCCTATTTTCAGATCTTAAACTTTTTCTCAGTTCAAAATGTCCTAAAAACAGCTTTTTAATATTTGTCTTTGGCACACGAGTGCTTGCTCTTTGCACACACTCTCATGGGAGAAGAGTATTACTGCACATGCTCAATGGGCTGCACATCCACTGAACGTACTGAGCCTCTAAACTCACGACATGCGCCACTGACCTCAGCCCATTCACTTAAGCAGGCGGCCATGTTTGAACCCCAGGGCTTGGTATCAATGCACTTTAGTTCAAGGTATTTTTACGCACTAAAAACACACAGGCTATGATACGTTTACAGCGTATACAGTTGAACGTTCCAAGCAAAGCCATAGCACCTTCATGGAGACAAGCAGATAATGGACCCTCCACCACAAAAGTTACCTAGTGCACCTTTAAAGTGTTGCAAAAAGTAAAAATATATTTTCTTTTAGCCATTAAGATTTTGGATTTATTTCATTATTTTTTATTTATTTATTCTTCGTCTGTATGCTTCATAAACAGGGCATTGTGCTGCAGGAAGGTGAGCAATGAGTGGGGAGAGGCAAACAACAAGCAAAAGAAAAACTTTGTTTGAATTTTATACACCTATGCAGTTTTTAATTGGAATAAATTGTCACTGTCAGAATTTGATAGCTATTATATGATAGTTATCTCATATTACATGCTTTTTCAATACTCCTCAGCATACAAGACATATAATACAAGCTAGCCTCATCTTTCTGAATGGCAAACACGCAGCCATTTCACAAATCTTTTAATGATTTGTGACCCCTTTGTGGACGGAGAAATTGTGGAATCATGCACCCATAACTTCTCACTTAATCTGTATTACTCTCATCACAACAGAGCAAGCCACTCTATCAGTAAATGCTAATCTGCTAATTAACAAGCTAATTAGGCAATTACAGCTTTGCAGAAGGATGCCTAAATGAAATATGACAACACAGTCACTTTCTACAGCACCTGTGGGTCTTTTCAGATGTTACAACGAGAGGCATGATGACAGAGTGTCACCTCCTCGCTCCTAGGTGCTTATTCTTATGCCTTGCTTGGCTCATTTGTAAAAATATTGTCATTTGATTTATCCTAATGAACAATGCACACGGAAATAACTTGTCACATTATAAGCAATATTCAGCCATTTATTTGAGTGCATTGTTCCCATGTCATAATAGGTTGGCTTCATATGACATCACAGGAGAGAGAATTCCCCTATAGTTAAAAGTTTAGCTGGAGGGTAGGTCAGGTTGTAGATTTGTTGACATGGTTTATGGTTAATATCTCTGTAATTACCTGGCACAAATTAATTTCTTTCTGTCAGCATAAGTAAACAAAAGTGAAATTATTTTTTCACAAGAGCGCCAGAGTGGGGCCATTATTCAGCTCCAAAGATGTGATGGTTGTCAGAGATGTGATTGTTGTCAGTTGAAAGGTCTTAAAACCATAAGATTAATATGGCAAGTATGTGGAGCGAGTGAATCCCTAACAAATAATGATAAGGTTCACCGTTTGTGGATCATAAGTTTGGATATTTCTTCCAAAAACAGTAAATCTCTCACAGACTTATATAGGCCCCTGGCTTCTTTCTGAAATTATGACATCATCAAATTCTACAATGTGAACGTAACCTATTTAAATGAACTATCAAAATGAAGTATCTCACCATAACATCTTTTCCTCTTCTTCTTTGGTTATGTAAACTCCAGGCCCAGCGTCTAACCAGATGTGGCGTATGGAAATGAATTATGTTGACACATGACTGAAAACAACAGTGAACGGGCCCGCCATGCTACACAATGAAGAATCATGCAGTGAAACAGAGGAGAGGAGCCCGCGCTGCACCTTTTGAGCCCCTTTTGACAGGTGTGTAGTGAGACTTGACAGCTCAGTATTTCCATGATAAATGCAGTAGTCCTGGGACTCCCATTCACTAAACTCACAACAGCGTCGCTCCTATACTTCAAGGTCAAAGGAACGAGTACAGCCATGCAGCCCACCACAGACCAGACTGGGTATGCACTGTCAGACAAGCGCACAATCAATAGGACTTCTACATTTGTAAGTGTTTGCAATCAGGCATTACTGTGATAGGTGAATGAACAAATGAACTACAGTTATATATATATATGTGAAAAAAAAGGTTAACCTCAATAATATAAACAGTTTTCTACAAGTATACTGATCAGTAGAAAATGTTACGCTTAAGAACTTTTAATTGACAGTTCTAATTTTTATACTATTATAAAATGATTGGCGTCATAAACAAATTAAAACATGTGTATGTACAGTAACTCAAATAATTTCTCATTTGTTCATAATTGTAACAATAAAAGTCATTACTGAACAACTCGTTAAAATATTTTACATGGCATTGCATTGATGTCCACTTTCACATTAGGCTATGTGTTATAATCCCTAACACATGTGACCTAATGACTTCCAAAGCCAAACGAGTCCCCAGAGAGATAGTGTCTACTATCTCAAGAGTTTTAATTATAACAGATAGCACCTAAATGGCACTGATAAACAGCAGTGTGATCTAAGATACCTCTCCTAATGAAGTTTACTGTTCACACTCCATCTTGCAAATAGTACAAGCTTATAGGAAATACAACTGAGAGATGGGACTGCTCACTACCCACTTCTGCTAGTAACTTTACAGTAAATTGCAGTTTAATGCATAATAGCATTGGGACAGCTACTGCTTACTTGACCCTTCAGCTAAAGCAATGAAAAAAAACAAAAAACAAAAATGTAGGCCTCAATAAGAAATAGGCCTAATTATAAAACCTAAAAAAAACATACAACAAAAACAACAACAAAAACAATAGTAACAATAGTTTTATAAGCCATACTTAAGTTTTTGAAAATACATTTCAAGACATTTGTGCAAATCACTGACATGTAGGCCTAATAAAACTAACAAAAAACATGGATGTATAGGCCAATGCAAAAACTTTAAAACCTTTTTTGCAGTTGCAGAAGTGGAGTAAAGGAATGAACAACTGTGTAAAATACATTGTTGCAAGTACTCTCAGGCAACAGAGAAAAGCAGAGAACATTGGCGAAGAGACATATTTTATTTCTATTTACTTATGCCACTGTGTACCTCTGACATCCTCGCATCCCGGCTCAACAACTAGTCTGCTACCATAGCAACTGCGGAGGAGCACGGAGCAGCGCCGCCTGCGTGCACTCTGCGTGTCACTCGGGGCAACGGCCAATGAGAAGTTGCCTTCCTTTTGTGCGGAGCCCCGTGAAGATGGAGGGATGGAGTAGGCGGGCTGGAGCATCGTGCATCTGCCAGTAATAGGGTGCTGGTGTCGTCAGTCTCCGTCACAGCGTCCCCTGATTGGTGGAGGAGCTTGAGTTAGGAATAATATAAACATGTCTTCGAGTTGGCCGTTTTGAAGCGGGGCTTACGAGGGACTATGCAGTTGAACATCAAACTGTGTAAAAACTCTCATTATGTATTTGCCTGTGTTGTAGCAGGATAAATCTTTATTAGCCGTTTGAACTAGTAGCTGCAAGTGCACGCGCGGAGACACGGAGACGCGGCTGCAGGAGAAAAGAAAACGAGCGCGAGAGGGACATCATTCTAATCACCATCCGAAGTACTAGCTCTTAACATTTTGTTTTTTGGTGTTCAGGCGAGAAGTGACAAGAATATAGACCCCTCCTCTACAGGGCGGAGCGTGCATCCTCACAATTTGTATTTTTTATTTATTTATTTTTTATTTTTTTCGTATTTTCTCCCAAGCCCTGTTCCCTGGCTCTGACACGTCTGCACTGACTGAGTGAGTGGCATTGGCACACTGTCAATCGCTCACTAGCGCTGCCATCAAACAACATAAAACACACACAAGGCTCAGGCTGCAGCTCATAAATTTGAGCAGGGCGAGAGATTTTTCCTGCGCGTCGCCTTTGCACTGCACCGCAGCCTAATTATTAATTTCTTGTCGGTATTCATTTTTTTTCTAAGTATTTAACAACCTCCAACTTTTTCTATTTTTCCTTTAATTTTTAAAGCTATTCGCGCTATGTTGAGTGCATATTTTTTTGTAAATTTTGCAGGACATTTATAGTTGAACACCTGCTAAGACTATTTGCATTTATTTACACAGTGGATATTTTTGTTGCCGCTACTAAAACCACGAGGATTTTGGATTTTTTTATGAAGGAGGAGAATACGCAGGGAATCCCGTGCAAAAGAAGAGCGTGAATAAATGAGAGATCATCAAGGAGCGTTTGTGTCTATATCAGCCGTCAACGCGCAGCGAAAAGACAGATTGGCACCGGGATACGATACGATGGACACCCACCTCATTCAGCTTTGACACTTTACTTTGAATCAAGAAGCATTTTGCTTTTTTCTTGAAATACAACGTATCGTTTTGGCACTTTGGACCGTGCGTAAAATTCAACTTGGACAAAAATCTACATTTCCAAGTCGCTCTTCAGCATCCATCCCCTCGCCTCTCCATCTCAGTCTGCGTATGTTGTTGTAGCCCGTTTCGTATATGAGTTTTTCAATTTGTGTGGCTCAGTGCACAGACTCTTTAGCGGCTAATATGGACGATCAAGCCCGGATCATGCAGTCGATCGGCGGCGTGAGTCTCGCTGGCCACTCGGTACAAGGTGGCATGGCATTGCCGCCTCCACATGGACACGATGGGACGGACGGCGACGGCAGAAAACAAGACATCGGTGACATCCTGCATCAGATCATGACCATAACCGATCAGAGTCTGGACGAGGCGCAAGCAAAGTTGGTTGATTTATATGTTTTATAAGTTGGCACCGTAAACAGAGCCGCTTAACTTAACTCCCCCGTGCATCATAACAATAGGCTGTTAATGTGGTTCTAATGTGTTAACATGGTGGTACCTCTCACCAAGTTGTCACTTAGGGGATTATATAGTTTTTATTTTTCGTCTTAGTGTTGAAAGTCAGTACGCACAAGTTTCATAAAACACTAACTATGAGGAAAAATATAGAGCTGGAGATTGTTGAACAAATATTGCTAATTAGCGTATATGAACAATTCTAAAACAAGACGCAGCCTAGATAATTTTGTAAATGTACTTTAGCAGTGAACTTATTTCACTATTTGATTTTGTCTTATACTGAAACAGGAAACATGGACTGAACTGTCACAGAATGAAACCAGCACTCTTCAGCGTTCTCTGTGAAATCAAAGAAAAAACAGGTAAGACTCTTCAATGTAAACATATCTCCTCTAGCTATAAGTGAAAATATCATAGGGATATTATGTGGATTCTACCTGCAGTCCTGCACTGGCAGCAGTCATCAGGGGTTACAAGGGGACCTCTGCCCAAACCAATCAATCAACTGTTTTTAACACGCCACGTTGTGTTGTATTAGAAAAGGTATCTTCTCCATCACTGCAAAATCACTTGCTTGTGCTTTTTGACAAAGTAAGAAATGCACAACACAAAACTGATATTAAAACATTAAACATGAAATAGTTGTCATATTTATAATTGTGGCAGTTATATTGTTATTGTTGAATTACTTTAAGTACCTTTGTATAATTTTTAAGTGTAGCAACGAGTGCAGTTTAAAAAAAAAATCACAATATTTCTTATTCTGTGGTGGAATGACGCTGATTATGGATCAGATCTAATTTCCTCCTTGTGCACACTGCAAAACGTGTGTGTACCATTTTATACTGAGCCCTATACAATTCTGCATAAATCATATTTTTTATTCTAAAATAAATGTATATAAAACCAATTTTATTTATAAAATATTATATCATATTAGCATAATTTTAATCTCTTAAGATAATACAGGTGTAAATGTGACTTTCAGTATTCACATAAAATCCACTATGATTCTTGTTTTATTTGATAAAACATTACATTTATGTACATTTTGAATAGTACATTAGAAATGCTGTGTAAGTATATTTAAAGTATAAAATTTCTTCCTTGTGTTGTAAACCAGTAAACACCACAGTATCATTTGGAGAGGACGCTAGTGTGTCAGATTTGTGACCTTTTGTGCGTTTTATGAGTAAAGGGTTTAAAGGAGACCATAAAAGTTTATGAACTTCCCTAACGCACAGGTGCAGCATCGAAGGGGCACAGGGTCTGCTGCTCCACTGTTTGTATGACTGCAGAGTTAAGACAATTCACAATATATACAATTATATTTAATGTGTAACTAGGAGGTTTATTTGTGCAGAAATTGGTTGTTCAATTAACTTTTTATCAAGACCAATTTTGAAAAAATTATAATATAAGCAATACTCACGCTGACGATGATTTGGCTTCTCTAATAAAATGTTTAATTTTCATTTATTGTTGATAGTTAAATTTTTCTATGTTTTGTCGACTATTTAAATTCATTGAGAATGAAATTTTAAAAATATATATTTCACTGCAGCGTACAAGCGGTTAGCATTTTTAACGTCCAACTTGTTGCCTATCATTGTTGTAAATAACTTAAAGTAAAAAGAAAAAAAAAAAACTTCCCTAAGTTTTAACAAAGTATAACAACACAGCATTAGAATTTAGAATTAGTATTACCTTACTTTTGAACTTGATGGCTATAGGGTAATTGTAGAATTTTGGAAGTTGGAGATGCTGTCTGGCCAAATGTTGAGAATGCTCTTGTAACTGCGTTGTGGTGCAAAGGTGTGTGTCCGAGATAAGTGCGTAGCAGGTTGTGTTTTTGTGCGTAATTGTGTGTGTGTGTGTGTGCATGGTTAACCTGTACTTGAGAGTCACTACCTCCCCCTCTTAGCCACTGACAGGGCTCAGCTGGTCCGGTGGCCTCGTTGACCGCGCTTTCCCCCAGCACACAGCCAGCCTTTCTCTGCCTCAGCGTAGCATCATTCCTGGGTGCTTCCTTCAACCTTTTAATGTCCCTTTTCATGTATTCCACACACTGGGATCAATTGTCTTTTTTCTGCTTTGGGATACACCCATTTTCTCCAAATGACTTTTAATAATAAATTTGAACACGGTCCAAGAATCCTGACTGTAATTACCGCATGCATGTATCATATTATCATTGTGTGCAGATGAAAAGGCGTCATTATGTTCAAAGCCTTACACCATTTTGATGATGTTGAGATAGCGCTGTTGTCGAAAGTGCAGCATTATTAACATTTGGAGGACTTTTGAAGCTGTTAAGAAGTTTCTGGCACTCTTCTGACTGCTATTGTGAAGCCCCAGCATATTTCTGCATTGCTAATGCCCTAGAAGTATTAATTCACTTTGATATGCTAATTAGAGAGCATTATGCAAGAAATGAGATTAAGTGGCAGCATGAAGTCATTTGCCTGTCACTAAATTGAGTGTTTTTAGCAGGAGGTTTTTTCTACCCCAAATTTCCTTGCATTTTAATAAGCTAAATGTGAGATTTGGTTGAAGTGCGGCTCTTTGTCCATGTGTGTTTCTCTCTTCTTTTGAAAATCAACATTGTTTTATTATTCTTCATTTCTCCCTGTTAGAAAAGCTGCAGAGTTCCTATACCTTTCCCCTTCTGTATCTGTGTGAGGAGACAATGGATGCATTGAGTAGACATGGTGTGCGATTCAGATGAGTTCTCCAGCTCTCCTGCCCTGTGTGCTCAGTTTGTCTTCTCCTGCTGGCTACTCCCTTCTTGTCTGTGGAAGAGCAGCAGCAGCAGCAGTGGGAGCGGCAAGAATAACAAAGGTGAAAGATTACCTCCATATGGTATTTCTGACCAGGAAAAGAGAGGTTCTGTGGCAAGACTCCTCTTTGATGTGAGCTTTAATCAATAGAAAGAGATTACAGAAAACTATTACAGGCTAAATCACACAGTGCTACGGAGAGGCTTAGCCCGTCTCCGCTGCTCTCCCAGCTGCGTGGCGCTCCTTTTGGCTGCGTATTGACTTGTTGTTTTCATGACCTTTGACTCGGCAGGTTCACGAGCGGGGGGGATGTCTGCAGAGGTAGAGATGTGTCTGCTCCGGTCCAACTCTTTGATGCAGTGGATTATGGGAAAACTTCTCTTATTTCACAAATGCTGTAATTTTGCACTTACTGGATCTGTTTAAAATACTTTTGAATGTATGTATGAGCAAGCATGAATGGACTGTCTAATATTGAGCTGTGGACAGTGTGGTAACTAAATACAATGGTGGATGGGCCATAATTAACCACATGCAAGGCTGACTAAAAGCATTACCTGCCGTAAATAGAGTTAGAACTGAGGAGGTAAGCATTTCTGAAATCTTCTGGGAGCATTCATTTCAGTGTTCCCTGACATTCTTAATGAGTCTTCGGACTACTAATGACTTATTACAAGTAAATGAATCAAATTACTATTAGTTTTTGTGTGTTAAGCTAAGGCCACATACGCGTCTATATTGGACTTGCATTCATGTAAACGCTACAGTAAAGAGCTGACAGAACACAAAGCCATTGAGCAGCAGAGACAATTGACTTTGCTGGCTTTTTGTATGCGAGACCCCAGCGATGCGGCTGCACTGACTAGATAGTGTTGTGGCGAATGGCGCGCACACAGCTGGGGTCCTGACTGCTGCTCTGGCTCTGCTTCCTCCTCTAAAGCGCAGAGAGGGACCAGGGAGCATGTGCCTTTTATCTGAGCGCTTCCCCAATACCCATCAGCCCACATGAAAAGCCAGGACAGAGCCAGACAAAGACGAGCACAAAGAATCAAGCCATTGCCTTTCTATTGGAGATAGATACTTGAGCTCCACGGCTGCTCCTCAAATCTGCTTTGTGCCCCGGCATACGCTGACGTCCCCCTCATCTGCTCGCGTCTCTCTCCCTCTACCCTGCTCCGAGCTATTTCCGCGGGCTCCTGTGCGATCAACAGCTCATAATTGTTTTTTGCACATACGTTATGCAAATGAGGCTTTATGGCAACTGGCATAACAATTAGCATCCTCCAACAATATTTTAGTAGGTTAATTGCAAAATTTCTGAATTGTACATCTGAGTTGTTAATTAGGCATGACAGAGGTGGTGAAATAGTTATCTCCAGGCAGTGGCAGCCAGCGAAAGCCTGCTTGGGATGCAAAAAGGAAGGATTGATTGAAATGAGTGTGCAGCACAAGGAGCAGGGGGCTGTGGAGTCTGGTTGTTTAGACTGAGGCTGAATAAAAAAGTGTGGATAACAAGGCGACTTCAAACTGATAGATTGTGTTTTAGTGTTAAGAAGATTAGCTTTTTATTGCCACTAAAGTTAATATTGTTATCCTTTTGCTTTTCAGCACAGGTTCAAATAGGTCTGGGCAGTATTGACAAAAGTGAATATCTCTATATTTGTTTACATTATGTCGATAGCAATATTCAGACAGTGTTTTAACAGTGCATCAGGAATGTGCTAAAATATGCCTGAAAATGTCTGGATTAGGGTTCAAGGATCACACAAAACAGTAGTAAACCATAAAATTAACCACTTAAGAGCAGAAATATCACTTTATACACTAGACAGTTGTATTTTTAATCAGATCTTTTTGCTGACACTTTTTAACTACAGATTATATACTTGATATACAAATTTTGCATCTCTAGAACAATAATTGCCGTATTATCTATTTTTCAAAATATGTCTCATCTATAGGTTGAAAATAATGATTATGTTAAATTTCTAAATCTCTCAGACTCTCAGAGTATTTTTTATCAGTTCAATTAATTGAAAAGCATTAAACATAATTATGCATAAATATAACTTTTTGCCCCTTATTAAGAAAAGGTCAAATTAAGGATGTGTTTTTTTTTTTTTTGCTATAGCACATCTTAATTAAGCTCTGGGCATGACACAGTGGCGTTTATTTATTTTCCCCTCTGTGGTGGCATCTCCAGTGTCACCATGTTCATTACTGTGTCAGAGTATATGTAAAGCCATAGAGGCGGCTGTTATTAGTGTAAAAAGGGTAGAGAGTGAAAGACTGGTGCAAAAGCTAGTCCCCTCTCCCAGTAATGACGCTGCTATTTATAGGCCCCTATTTCATTAGCTCTAGTGTTTCAGGGAAGACTTTTTCTCATGGGACAATAGACAGCATGATGTTCATTTACTCTGTACATATTACTTTTGGACAGATAACTGACCTATAGTTAGTGGCTACAGTGGAAACAAGTACTCTGGCATTCTGTTTGACAATGGTGCTTTCTAAATAATACGCACTCCAACAGGTGATATGCCCTCTTCTGTGTTGGACATCATCAGTGGTTAAAATGAACA